CTAACATAAACGAACTTAAAGAATTTTGTCGGACATCACGTGATGGTAAAAATTTTGTTGGCGATACTGGGGAAGATTGAAATCGGGTAGCGATCATCTGATTCATCTGATCGACCTGTAAACGCGAACGCGCTTTTGATCATATATATATAAATGTGTAGGTCAATTCTTTCTTTGCCAACAATCTAAGGTTTTAAATATAATGAACACAAACGACAGCGTAATACATGAATACTTCGAGCGAAAGGCTACTGATTGGAATATTCGGGGGTTCTTGGACGAATGCAAGGAGAAACCATTCAAATTAAAAATCGAAGCTTATTGCTTATCACTTGAAAACATCATTAAACAGGGAAAATTAAATCATAGACACGGTAAAGCCCAGCTCTTGCTGGATCGGTATAAAAAGGTATGCTTAGCGCTTGCTTTAGTGTAAAGTGGTGTGGTAGAAGATCTACGAGACTTTCTATCATTCAAGTCTACGAGACGAGCCACAAAGCCAGTGTGGGGCACAGAGCAAACTACGAGTTTCTTTGTGTTCAAATCTATGAGATGACCTAGCGCTGGCACTACCGGTGCACCAAATAAACTACGAGTTACATTTGATGTTAAGTCTACGAGACAATCGGTGGATCAAAGATGTTATAATTTTCACGTTTTTTTTCTCTTAGGGAAAAAAACCTGATTACAAAGAGGCAAGAAAATGGAGGAGAGAGAAGGAGGAGGAGAAGGAGGAGAAGGAGGAGAAGGAGCGTAAATCTAAAGAAGTTGGCGGGCCTTCGATCCATTTCCATCAACCGACGTTTTCAGCTAATACCATTAATGGAATTAATAATACTGGAGCTTTCGATATTCATCTATTAAAAGAATCCAAGAAAAGAAAGAAAGATCAGGAAGATGAAGAAGAGGACGAAGGGGTAGGTTCTTAAATCATGATTGTTTTGTAACTTCTTAGTTTCTTACTAACTCTTTTCTTCGCCATTCAAGATTGACAACCCAGCAATACTTTATGATAGACTGATAGTGGGAATTGAAACTGCACGAGAAAATCAAACGGCCTGTTTGATGACGTAAGTACAAACTAATCTTTTTTGCATCCTTTTGAGTCCTTCACTAACATGCATTCAAATTATAGCCCGCTTTGTTGGGGTGTCGTAGATCTTAGAGCAGAGAATGTCTCTCCGTGCCCAAAACATCCTCGTGCGAAAGAATTTCTATCAGATACGGAAGTTCAAAATCTCCAACAAACGGCTATTGAAATTATAAATAAAGAATCACATTTGAGCCTATCTGCTAAAACACTTCTGGAGACGCTTCAATGTAGCACTTTCAGTCTCAGAAAACTCAGTAAGGAGAAGAGGGCTCGGGGGATTGAAGGTATTTGTTCCTTGCTTAAAATAGACGCGAAAATATATGACAAAGATACCCAGTACGTTGGAGAATGTATGGATGCCTTGTAAGTTCTTAATCATAATCTTTAATTTTACTTGTCAGCATTCTTTTCATTAAGCCATGAATGTTATCATTGTAGTTATAGTTGGGTACATATATACGGTGGACGACTAATATAGAACGAACTGTCGATATGCACCTAATTGGTCCGTTCTCAAAAATGCCTGGTGTTAAATATATATAGTAAGAAGCTGTATTCCTTGTTAATTCTATTCTACCAAGATAATTAACAATTCTTTATAGTGGAGAAAGTCATTCAGATGCCGACAGAGACGAGAAGTCTTTCTAGTCGGAATCAGGAGCAACTGGAAAGGCGTGTGATTTTATTTTCTGGGTAAGTTTTGTTTTGATTGGTGTTTAGTGCGAATGTGTTATATAAACTGATAGTAAACTGTAGGGAAATGGGCACGAGATTGGCATTGGAGAGAACACCAGCCCCACTCGTAAGGACCATCATAAAAAAAGTTTCACCGATTTCGTAGATGTCATAAATGTTGCTCGATCGCAACATATTAGTTTCCAAACGAAGTGCATAGAAAAAAGTGGGCGCAATCCTCTTCCCTCAAATATTGAGAATGTATTGAAGTCTGTACCGATTTCCTTTTTCCAAGTAATCGGGATGAAAATCCGATTCTACATTCTAATACAAATCAATGGTGATTTGTACGGTATGTGGGAATGGTCTTCGCAAGACCTACCAAGAAAGGATGATGATATTATAACTGCGATGGCTTTATGTAAAAAATTCCTAATCCATCGAGTAAACAATTTTTTTCCTATCTGTTTTTTTTAATTGATTTTTTTTCTTAACTTCTGACTAAGATATTTTGTAGAATCTTCTAAACCGAACATCCAATCTAACTCAAACGGCTAT